GAACTGACGAACATCCAAGAATTCGCGAAAGAATTAAGGATATTCCTGACCGTAAGAAACTGTGCCGTCGAAGAGCTTTGCTACATCTCATGAGGATTGTTGCGCAAGCAGAAGCATACAGAAAGCTGACTGTAAATAGACTTTTCAAGGAGCAAATACTTTGCTATGTGCCGGGATTTTTCACATCATCTGATGCACTGTGTACAACAACTCTTGGTAATTTGTGATAATAATAACCACAAACAAACTTGACTGTTTCGTTGACTGAAACCTTTGACCGAATTCCATCAGAAAAACGAAGACAGCAAAAGTCCCGCGACGCTTACAGGCACCAAAAATATGAGGGAAATAGGAAACAGATTTCGTCGGAAAGGCTCGGTACAGCTTACAGTATTTAATTCCATTTACATTTTGCATCCTGTGCTCACCAAGACACTTAAGATGTGACGGTGCGCATCGCAGCTGTAGTGCCAGAACAAATTGGAGAACATGATTGCATATTTCGCAAGCACCGGGATAATCACAAGAACACATTAAGCTGTCTAAAATATTTCCATTTCATCCATGGCCTGGATATCCTACCTGCAAAAACGAAAAGTTTCTAATCGCTGGGATATTTATTTTCGTACATTTTCATGGAAGGACTATTTCTGAAGACTTTCTATTCATAAAAGTAATGAAGAAACGCAGATCTCCAATTTAATGCCATCATTCAGAAGTATCCTATGTTAAAGACAGAGTCGACAACAGCTACGTGTCAAGAATACCGTCTCTTGTTTTACACACACAAAGTAGTACTCCTCGATCAACCTTGGAAGAAAGGAAAGCGAATGATCTGACAGGGGTTCTACCGAGTGAGCAGCCCGAATGAAAATTAATAGCCTGGTTGATAAAAAGGCTCGGTTAGCATAAAAAATCACAGATTTATGGCCGAGTTCATTCACATTTCATTATGTTCTACAGTAGGTCGAAATATTAAGACTACACGATAGTAGCACCTATATTTGTCATATTGATTTTCTGGCGAGAGACAGCGAACTTACTGCTCTCAAGAAATGAGCTGAGAAAAGAAAGACTGTCACTCGCAACTTAACAGTCAACTAGAACCAAGAAATCAGTGATTTCAGATACGTATACTACAAAAGATTAGTTTCGCATTACATGTTGAAATGTTCTTTCTCCATCGTGTGAAAGTAAGCTGAAAAATACGTATCAATCCCAATCTTATGGGTTTACTTTATACCTACGAGTTTTCGATACCGCCGGTAAGAAAAGAACATTTTCTGTTACCACCGGATTTACACGGCGTAGAGGTACCATCCCGTTGCTCCTAACAGCCCAAGGGACCATTTATGCAGACCACGGCTTTAAGGTATTTTAACAGACGCAAAAATAGGGCATCTACCTCGGATAGTAGGTATCTACCAATTTTCACTCTGCGTAGAATCAGTCCACAATGCCGCCGATTCCATTTGTTTTGGTTTGCCAGTTTCCTGAATTTCAAGGCTGAATTTCATTCACTAGATCGTTTGACGAAGAGAAAATCATGAAACGTTCTCGGATGCCTAAGGACATCGTTTCTGTTTTGGAGGAAATATATGCAGAAACGGTATTTTCTGTCAAAGCTGAACGACAACTACCAGAGTGGTTCCCTATTAACTGTGGAATTCTCCAGGAAAATGTCCTCTCCTCATTACTATTCAACATTGTTTTGGATTTTAATATCCAAAACATTGCACACCCTGGGAAAGACGAAGGTCACATTCTGGAGGTATTACATAGTTGAAGATATCCAGCTAGTTATCTTGCTAAAATGAAGAACGAGGATAACACTGTCTGGTAAGAAGTACAGGGACTTCTGTCACCTGAACGCTTAAGTATGGAACAGAGCAGCGAAAGTTGGCCTCTTTCATAACGCTCGGAAGGCAACAGTTATAAAGAACCCATCTAACACAACCGATATACATACACATACAAGTGGAACTCGGAAGTGAAGCGGTGCAGGAGGTTGATCAGTCGAAGCATCCCGACTGCATCATCTCCAGTGACCAGGCCATTCAGCCACAGCTAAATGGAAGGATCGCCCTAGCCTGGAGTGCTTTCAGAAAACTGTCAAATATTTGCGTTGAGAAAAGCGTCACTCCTCCCACGAAAATCTGTATGCAGTTGCCACTGTCAGGACATTACTGTTGTAAGGCATTGAGGCATATTTTAATAAAGATGTAATAACAAAGGTCAAACTTCGACATAAAATGAGCTTAAAATGGCAGAATCACGTAATGAACGACCCCATTGTATTCCGGGCAGAGGTGATCTCAGTGGATATGGATATTAAGAAAAGACGGTTAGTTCTGTTAGACAAATCGGTTGAGGATACATCGTTACAACTCGTGCGGGTGTCGAAACACGACAGACGTCAACCAGAAGGCTAGCGTGAAAAATGGAGGAACACTGCATAAGATCTGCTTTCGGGGAGAAATAATATTACCTTCTGCGAGACAGTAAACTGCGTTTTATAGCAAGTACTGAAAAACAGCGGATAAAACAGAAATCGTAAACCTGAGACGTTCTGCTAATGCCAAACACGGTGACTCAGCAAAAACAACAAGCGATATATAGATATAGATAGTGCATGCATAAATAAGCTAATAATAGCTGATTACTTAGAAACCGAGATCAGCAATACATCACAAGCACGATGAAAGAAGGGGGAACAGTGGGAACCGATCAGGACAGTGTTAAGAAACCGGTATCACAAAAACTGCACACATTTTTTCTATCTATATGATGCTCCTTCGCAAGTTTTAAGTTTGAGGTCGGAAATTTCAAATTAAGGGCTTTCAAATTATTTCAATATACGGTATTATCATATCCATTTTATGTTATGTTAATTAATAATTAATGTTGTTCTGTTTAATGCTTAAGGCACTGATGAAACTTAGACAAGCAGCTTCTAAATCAACGACATAAAGAAGAATAAAACAGACTTTACCTATGTTAGTTTTATATTTCAGCTGGTTTCTGACGCTGTACTCAACAATGAGTTTTTCGTATTCCTTGGCAGAGTTGCCAAGTAACTGAAACGAAATAAATGAAAGATGAAGAGTGTTTGAAACCTGCTTACCTCCTTCAATTGCTTCGGTAATTTTGCCCATGGACAGTTATCGTGGATATACGAATCGACGTTTTTCGCCGCCATTCAGGCACTGGAAAAACCTGGTATTAATACAACAATTTTAATAATCAATTAAAATATCTGATCGAATAAATTTTACAACGGAAAAGGCAAAGATCGGTGGGATGAGGCAACACAAAACAAGAGAACATAAATGATTTTATTTTTCTACCTTTGGAAAAGTAAACATTACCGAAAACTCGTTTTAGTGAGTTAACCTGGTCTTGTAATTGTACAGTATCAGCAACAACTACTGTGTGAGTTGAGAGTCCAGGAGACTAAATGCTATGCATGAAATTCAGCTCGTTCGTGATCTTTTGTTAAAATATATATACCCATAT